CCTCTGCTTGGCTGGGACCGCGCTGCTGACACCCACTGGTGCGCGGCTCGCCTAGATCCGCACCGCGGCAGCAGAGCCCGCCACAAGCGTCGCCGCCGGGGTCTGTGGTCTCGCCTCCGCGAGACTGTGGCCAGCAGGAGCCGCTCCCCCCCTGGCTGGAGAGGGCTCCCGGCCAAACCCCTAGCCCGACAGGAGTCCTCTCTTGTCGGCGAGGCGGCGCTTCAGCTCGGCGACCTTCATCTCGCGCGCCTCCACCCGCTCGGCTGCAGCCTCCTCGTCGCGGGGCGCGCCAGCGGGCAGATTCTGGCTGGGGATCAGCGCGAGCCACCTGGTACTGCGCCAATGGCCATCCCGAAGCGCCATCGTCCTGGCCTTGAACTCCTGCGTGAGCAAATCGCTGACCTCGACGACCTGCCCGCGGAGCAAGCCGTCGATCGCCCCGCCCAGCGCGCGCAACACACGCACCTCGTCCACGTCGAGCGTCCGCGGCGGGTGCGCCACGAAGAACACCGCGTTGAGGTACTGCGTCACGCACGCGCCGAGGGGGTCCGCCTGGCTCGGGTCTGCGAGCAGACGAGTGAACTGGCCCCTGAGGTGCGCCAGCCCATTCTCCAGGAGGGCCCCCGGCCGCTGCTTCGCGATCCTCTGGAACAGATCGCGCCCGACGTTGACCCCCTGGTAGGTGTCGCGATCCAGCGCGCCAGAGCTCTCGTCGTTGAGCTCGCTGCCATCCTCGCCGCCAAGCAACACCGCCGCGAGCATCAGGGCCAGCCTCTCGCGCCCAGCAGGCGCTGCCGAGACTCGAGCACCACTCCCCGCAGCTGCGTGGTCCTGCACGCGCTGCGCCAGTGCTCGAGCAGCGCCAGGCGCGGCAGCATTCTTGGCGACCGCTCGGGACCCAGAGCAGCCACCTGTGCCTCCTCGCAGCCGCTGGCCGAGCTGGGCCAGGCGCCCGTCCAGGGCTGGGTCCTCGAGCGCCCGCTCCAGCCCTGCGACCTCCGCGTCGAGCGGGCTCCCGCCGAGCGGCGCTGCGCCACCGAGAGCGGCACTCAGCTCCTCCTTGCGGGCCCGCTTGGCCGCTGGCTCGCCCTCGCCGCCATCGGCCCCCTCCGCCCCTGGGGGCGGGGGCTCCGGCAGTGGCGGCAGCGGCGCAGGCGGCAACCCAGCAGGCCGCGCGGCGCCCTCGTCGCCTGAGCCAGCCTGGCTCGCCCCAGGCGTCGGGCAGCCAGCGGACTCGACGCGCAGCCCTCCAGCAGCCCGCGGGGCTAGGTAGCACTCCGCATCCAGCGTCTCCAAGTCGCGGGGGTCGACCAGCCGCCAAATGTCGACATGCTCGACTCCTCCAGCGCCGATCGGGCAGCCTGCCGTGCACTCCTCCTGCGGGCAGCCGCAGAGGTGGTACAACGTACCCAGGGGCCTCCCGCCAGGCTTGCCCTCGGCCTGGGCATACCAGCTGAAGTACCCGTCGGTGGCCCCCACGTGCTGCGCCCGCAGGTAGCGGCCGCCCGCCGACACCGCCTCCGCGTCGGGCTCGTCCAGGGCGTAGGCGATCTCCACGCGCAGCAGCTCGCGGCCCTGGGCGCGGTCCTCGTAGTCGCGGACCTTCACCTCCAGGTGATCCCCAGCGGCCAGCCCCACGGCGCCTAGCAGCTCGCCGTTCGACCTCCCGTCGAACCATGCGCCTCGAGGGAAAGGCCAGCGGGGCCCTCGAGCGCGCATCCGCCGCCAGCGCCTCACGGCACCATCCACACAACTCTCAGCGCGGTGCCGGGAAAGCGTGGGACTGCGACCAGCAGAGAGAGGGGCTGTCGCTGGCCGCGAGCAACGCGGGGGACCTTCGCCCCGAGGTCCCCCGCTCCTCCTGCCCCAGAGAGGCCAAAGCCAAAGTGACTACGGGTTTAAACATGGTTTAAACGGCGAGCCCTTCCTGGGGTCTGGGAGCCGCATAGGCCCCCTTTAAAGGATACCCTATATAACTATATATATATATATATATGCACACCTCTCTCTCTCTTTCTCTTTTTCCGCCGGCCCCCTTGCGGGGCCACCAGGCTGTAGGCCGGGAATGTGTTGCTCCCTGTACCAGTTGCAGCTTCTAGTTTCCAATGTTACAGTTTTGCTTCTTGCTGCGTAGTGTTCCTCGTTGATGAACGCGCGAGGGGGGAGGAGCCCAAACCAGCAGAACTACCACACCCTGGGAGGGATCTCAGAATTTCTGAGGGTGGTAAAAATTGACACCCCTCACGCAAATCCGCAGGGTCAGGGTCCAAAAACACTTTGGATGTGCCACATGTTTTAACTTCAGTGGCACCCCTCACGCAGATCGGCGGGGTCAGGGTCCAAAAACACAACGGATTTGCAACATTTCTCAATTTCGGTGGCACCCCTCACGCATATCGGCGGGGTCAGGTTCCAAAAACACAGAAAGGGTGTGCCACATTTCGAAAATCCGGTAGCACCCCTCACGCAGATCGGCGGGGTCAGGGTCCAAGAAAATAACGGATTTGCTCCATTTCTCCAATTCGGTGGCACCCCTCACGCAAATCGGCGGGGTCAGGGTCCAAAAACACAAGGGATGCGCTACATTTCGAAAATTCGGTAATTATCACCCCTCACGCAGATCGGCGGGGTCAGGGTCCAAAAACACAAGGGATGTGCTACATTCCTCAAATTCGGTGGCACCCCTCACGCAGATCGGCGAGGTCAGGGTCCAAAAACACAAGGGATGTGCCACATGCCTCAAAATTCGGTGGCACCCCTCACGTAAATCGGCGGGGTCAGGGTCCAAAAACACAAGGGATGTGCCACATTCCTCAAATCTGGTGGCACCCCTCAAGCAGATCGGCGGGGTCAGGGTCCAAAAACACATGGGAGGTGCCACATTTCTGAAAATCGGTGGCACCCCTCATGCAGATCGGCGGGGTCAGGGTCGAAAAACAAACAGGTCCCGACACTGCTTCACGGCAGCGCCCAGACCTCATAATTTAGCTTCTGCATCTTCCATCATCCAAGACAGGGGGCCGACGGCATGGAGCGAAGCCCTTACGGATATATATATATATATATATATATATATGTGTGCGTGTGTGCTTGTATAACATGCATGCATGCATGCATGCATGCATGTATGCATACATACATGCATACATACATACATACATGCATGCATGCATGCATGCATACAGACAGACAGACATACAGACAGACAGACAGACAGACAGACAGACGTACATACATACATACATACATACATACATACATACATACATACATACATACATACATACATACATAAATACATACATACATACATACATACATACATACATACATACATACATACATACATACGTGTGTGCATATACAAGTACATGAGTATGTACACACATATAGACATACTGGAAACATTGCGCGCGCTTCGCGCGCGCTCGAGTTCTAACTAGATTTGATCGGCTAACTCATGTAATCTCATGTTGGTCGCTTCTTGCGTCCAGGGACTGCCTTGGAGGCCCTGCGCAAGCCTCGGAATCGTATAGAAGGGGAAGTGCGGAAGCACAGAAATCCTTAATTTCCTTAGGTATTCAACGATTTGGGGCTCTCAAAGGCTTCCTGGGTTCATTTTTGGGAGGTGAGGGGGGTCTGAATTGTGGTCTGCTGTGCACGAGTAGACCCGGGGGCCAACCTTGGGAAAAAAAACTGTAGGATTTCCACATATTTCCAGTTCCTCGGCGATGTTCGGCATTGTTTTTGTTTGTGCCTCGCGAGTTTTGTTAGCCGGGCCCCTCAGGGGTGTGGGATCTTCCGGACCTCCTGAGGGTTCTGGAGGCCTCTTGGAGGCCTGGAGAGCCGTCCACAGGGTGTTTTGGACTGCTTGGGAGCGTCTTGGGCCGTTCTTTACGTTCTGGGAGCTTTTTGCGGTCGTCATGGGCTGTCCTTCGGCGTCTTGGGGTCTCCCCTGAGAAGCCGGGAGCCGCGGTACCGGCCAGATGTCAGGGGATGTGTAGGACCCCCGAGTAGGAGTTCCACTTTCAAAAAACAAAAAAAGATGGGAATTCCTTGTCTTTGTTTCAAAATCCTGGATCGTTGAGGGTTGGAAGCGGGAAAACGAGAAAGGCGAAAAACATTAGAAAAAAGCATCGGCAATCAACGATTTTACCCTCTTTGGACTCTCTCGGGATGGCTCTCGCAGCTCTCTTGGGCTGTTCTTGGAGCCTCGTCGGGGTCTTTTTGGGGCCTCTCAGGGATCGGGGTGTGTTGGGGGCCTCTTGGTGATCCCAGAGGCCTCCCGGAGGTCTCTGGAAGCCTCCTGCTCCCGCTCTTGGCCCATCTTGGGCCTGCCCTGGGGTGGTCTGGGGCTGTCCTGGGCGCCTCTTTGGCAGTCTTGGAGCCGTCTTGGCCTGTCTTGGGGCCGTCCTGAGGGTCTCTTGGGCGGTCTTGGGGCGGTCTTGGCAGCCTCTTCGGCGCACTTGGACCGTTGGAAGCTCGAAAACGCGAGAATCCAAAAACACCCCCCCCCCCCTCAAAAAAAACTACTTGGGCCTCTTCGGGTCGTCCGGGACGCCTCTCGGACCTCTCTTGGGGTCTCTTCGAGGCCACCTGGGAGCATCGAGAGCCGTCGGAAGGCTGACTTGGGCTGCTTGGGAGCGTTTTGGGCAGTCCTTTCGCATTCTGGGGGCTCCTGGGAGGCGTCTTGGGCCCTCCTGGAGCGCTGTGGAGGCTCCCCGGAACGCCCGGGGGAGCGGTACCGGGAGCGTTCCCGAGATGTCACGGGGAGGTATGGCACCCCGGGCCGGGGGAAGGCGGCACTTGTTTACATGTGTTGTATATATATATATATATATATATATAGAAAAATAATATATATATATATATATATATATATATATATATAAATACATAGATGCAAACTGCTCGAACCCAGCACCTCGCACCTCGCCCCCCTCTCCTGCGGGCCTGGACCAGTGCTGGGCCAGGCCAGGCCCCCCCGCCGGCCCCAAGGCTGGATCAGGTTGATCAGGATGAAGAGGAAGGCCAGGACGCACGAGAGGCGCGCGGTGAAGACCGTGGCCAGGGCGCTGCAGAACTCGTCCGCGGGCGCCACGCCGGCGGCCTTCGGGTGGAAGGCGACCATGCCTGGGAAGACGGTCCTGGGGAAGCCGGCAGGCACCGGCACCACGACTCCGCGGACCTCTCCCAGGGTACGCTCTGACCAGGATTTCGAGGCGGAGCCACTCCTGGCGACGAGGGCCTCCCGGGAGGCCGAGAAAGGTGAGATCGAGGCAAGGGCAACGGTATCTGTACCGTTTCCTCCTCGGAGGTCCAGCCGACGGTGAGCACGAACGTCCACAAAGTCAGGATGATCCACAGGAAGGTGCCCATGCCCACGACCGTGAAGGCGGCAGACCTGGGGAAGAGGACCAGGCTGGCATTCGCTAGCGACATCCATTGTGCCTTCGTCCCCTGTCCCTGGTCCGACTGTTCCTCCTCGCCCTCCTCTTGCACGCTCTGAAGCCGGTCTTTCCGACGCCGCTGTGCATGTTGCTTCTCCCCCCTACTACAATTATTCCAGGGCGTCCCCTATCCTGAGCAAAATTGAAAGAGAAAAAAAGCAAGAGAGAGAAAGAGAGAAAGAAAAAGGAGATAGAAAGAGAGAGAGAGAGATATCAAAAAACTCTAACAAACAACAAAACGCCTCCTCCTCCTCTTCTTCTTCTCTACTCCTCTTCTCTCCTCCTCTCTCCTCCTCCTACTCCTCCTCCTGCTCCTCCTCCTCCTCCTCATCCTCCTCCTCCTGCTCCTCCTCCTCCTCATCCTCCTCCTCATCCTCCTCCTCACCGTCTTCTTTCTCTCATTCCCCCTCTTTCCCAGCAAGCGCTGCACAACCCACGCCGTCTTCTCCGGGGCAGCAGATCGATCGTGCAGACCGCTTGTCCTGCGCCTCTGGCGCTGTGCTTCGGAGTGACGGCTGCAGCAGCTGGGGCGGCTGAGCGTGCCAGGGAGTGCCGCGCTCCGCGTGCACGGAGGTGGTCCTTGCGAAGACGATACCTGAGTTTGAGCACGCTGCGGGCCCTCTGCCTCCGTGCCTATGGGGCAACGACAGGGGGAGGGGATGGGCACAACGGGGGGGGGGACATCGACCTCGAATGGCCGATGCAACACCCAAGTATCGTCGATACAACGTCGATGCAGACTGCCCCACGTATCGTCTGTACATCGTCGATACATCGGCCTGATATCAACCAGTCGAGGTCGATGCCTCCCCCGATGCCTATCGCCCCCTGTCGTTGCCCCTCAGTGCCTGGTGCCTCGTGCCCACAATACATTGCGGAAGGACAGTCAGGTGTGCACTGCAAGTGGGCTCTGCTGGCAGACTGCACCTGCAGAAGCAGGCCTCGACCAGTTGTGCATGCCGCGCGATCCATGCCGCGCGCCGCGCGCCCCAAGATCGCCCCCGCGCGAAGATCGGAGCGGCCGTAGAGCGAGGCTGGAAGAAACGCACACCGCGCAAGGACCTCATAACGCCTCAAAATTGATACGGGGTGACCTTCTCGCTCCTGAGGGGGGTCCTGACGACGTGCCCTGTCCCTTTTCTCCCCTGCCATCCGAGACCGTCGCAACCGGTCCTCGACCACCAGGCCGTGCTGCAGGAGGGTGGAGTTGTGGATGAAGGCGCGCTGCAGATCTGAGGCAGTCAGCTCGCCCTCGTTGCGGCGGACCTGCTGGACCGCCTTCTGCGAGGCCGCGGCCTTCTGCAGCAGCTCGCGGCCCCCCTTCTGCACACTGTAGGCGGAGACCCCGTGCGCGAAGATGAGCACAAAGCAGAGAACGGCCTGGCTGACGATCCAGAAGTAGATGGTCGGGATTGCGCACACCGAGTTCCGGTCGGCGTAGATGGCCCACGCGGAGAGGAAGACGAGGGGGACGAACATGACGATGATCTGAATCATGTGGAAGTAGAAGCTGATGGCCAACACGACTGGCGAGGCAGTACCCGCCATCAAGACTGAAATCGAGGGGTAGCTGTTCTTCACCGCCTGATCCCAGTCCAGCAGAAGCATCGCCTCCTCGGCCTGAAGCTCTTTAAGCACAGTCCCTGCGATGCTCTTGAACTCAGCGACCATGAACTTCCTTGCCTTGAAGCCCATGGCGGCGACCCTTGACTCCAGGGCCCTCTTGGCCTTCATCCCCTTTGTCACCTTCGGCCCCGCCGCGTGCACGGCACACATCATCATGGCTCGAAGCAGATCCTCGTAATTGAACTTCTTCGCCGCTTCCTTCTCGACCTCTCTGACTGCCAGAGTGCTGCTGCTGCCCTCGCCTGCCTCGCCGACCGCCAGGGCGCCCCCGGTGTCGTCGGCGTCGGACGGCTGCTGGGCCGACGCCTTCTGCCCGCTCATGGCGCAGAAGACGATGAGCCCGACCGTGGCAAGCGTTACCCCCATCGCCACGGCACCTGTGTCGAGGAGTGCCCGGCTCCAGTGCACCTCTGGAGCATCATCCAGGGCCCGCCGCGCGGCAGCCGCCGCGCCGTCCCCGCGGCGCCGCAGAACGACTCCGCCGCTCAGGAGCTGCCCCGAGTGCGGCAGCCGGGACGTCCTCTCCCCCTGCGCAGGAGGAGGCCGTCTGTGCGCGCTCGCCTGCCCCCAGGCCTCCGATGCTCTGACCTGCTCAGCACGCGTGCCTCGGAGCTCTCGGTCTCTTCCTGGGCTCCCAGGGGCAGGATGTGCGCCACAGGCCCGCATCCGACAGCCCCAGAGCCCGAGAACGGCCCCTGGAGCCCGAACACACACAAGAGAGCTGGACAGACACAAAACCCTTTGCTTGTTCAAGACTGGGGGGGGCAAGAGCAGCACCAATAACACGCCACCGTGGGGAACCCATCAGCGAGCTGCTGCTGAAGTTAGTCCAGGCCTTCGGGGAAAAAGCGAAGAACCTACCAGGCCTTCGGGGAAAAGGCGAAGGATAAACCCATCATCATGCTACTGCTGAAGACATACCAGGCCTTCTGGATACAAGAGAGGGATGAACACGTTGGCGGGCTCTCAGCGGCAGCGTGTCATGGATACTATCTCAACCCCTCCCGACAGACGTCGGACGTATGAGTCCTTGCCCTGACCCCAAAAGGTTCACGCGTGCTCCGCACTGGCTCCGCTGGCCAGCCTGGTTAATTAGGAAGCATGTGTCGCCTGGCCTTCAGCTGGCCGGCCTTCCTCGACCCCACCCCCTGGACGGCCCTACCCTGGGCCCGCAAGAGGCCCCCTCCCAGGGGTCAACATCTCAGCAAAAAGATCCCAAAGAGCTGTATACTCAGACATGCGACGTCCAGATGTTTTCCATACGGGGTCCCCAGAAGTCCCGACCATTTCCCCGGAGCTGGTTTTTCACCCCGAATCGTTTTCCGACGGTCCCAGAACCAGGTGAGGGCCCCCAGAGGCCGAAAACGACCAAAAACCTCCCGTCGCGATTGTTGTCCCCTCGAGGCGCGAGCATCTCTGGGTGCGTAAACATAACCTTCCTGAGGCCCGCGCGGATCTCTTGCCTCTCCGCGGCACGCGGAAGCGCCGCCCGGAGTGCGGGCATCGGGGCTCAGCGTCGACCACAAGAAATCCGCGTGGACCTCCGAATGCTTTCCCAGACACTCGGGGCCTCCCAGATGGGGTCGGAGCAGATGTGGTCGGAGAGCATCGCGATGCATCGGCCGATGCACCGGCGATGCATCGGCGATATATACCGGCGATGCACACGCCACGTCGGCGATGATGCACTGGCGACGTCGGAGTTGAGGAACTCGGGCTCCACAGCGAGCCGCATCGCCGACGCATCGCCGATGCGGCGCAATCCTCCGACCCCCATCTGCTACGACCCCATCTGGGAAGCCTACAGACCTGTTCGCGCCGTGCAAACATCAGGACGGGAGGCTCTGGGCCGATCAGCCCCCCCTCCTCCCCCCCCCGCACGTACGCTCGCTACCGTTACCCCGGGGAGGGGGAGGGGGAGGAGGATGATGAGGAGGAGGAGGAGCAGGAGGAGGGGGAGGAGGAGGAGGAGGAGGAGGAGGAGGAGGAGGAGGAGGAGGAGGAGGAGGAGGAGGAGGGTGAGGGGGAAGGGGAGGAGGAGGAGGAGGAGGAGGAGGAGGAGGAATAGGAGGAGGAGAGGAAGAGTAGGAGGAGGAGGACGAGGAGGAGGAGGAGGAGGAGGAGGAGGAGGAGGAGTCGCGTTCAGCCGAGGGGAGGAGAGAGGGGTCCCAGATCCCACTCCCTGCAGCACTTGCCGCATTCGAGCACTACGGCGGGCCATCGCACGCGCACGAGCCTTCAGAATGCCACGGACAGAAAGCTGGCTATACCTACGAATGTTGAATGCACAGTGCATAAGACCAATGCCAACGGCAATGCTGACTAATTGAGCAGTAGGCATATCAGGCCACACTCCCAATTCATAGCAGTGGACAGGATCCCCAGAGCCCCAGGAAACAGGAAGAAGGGGGAGGAGGGTTCGCACATCAGGAAGAAGAGAAGGACATTGAAGATACCGAAGCATACGATCAGCAGCAGCAAGACCACAACAGTTGCAACATCTGGTCGGGATATGAGTAGCGCCCAGAACAATTCCAATGGCTGCACACCGTTTTAAGCGCAGACGATAAGATACATGGTGGCACGTTTCGGGCCTTCCGATTCATCGTCAGGCCTGTCAGAAAGGACTGCTCTTGCGACACACCCCGTGAGTATCTAGTTAACCTCCTATGTGGTATCCCTCCCATCGTGGGCTGGGTACCGTGCATCTTGAGAGCGGCCAACGTCTTAGCTTGAAGGCGCACAGTGTCGCGATCACGCGGCACCCGAGGAACAGAGCTGATCGACGCCTCGACAGCCATGAGGTAGGCGAGGATCGAGGTCGATAAACACGTGTTACATTTATGCGTAAGCAGCAAATCATCCCCATCAGTGATACCTTCATATTCCTCCTTCCACCTCCAATACGCAGGGCACCTGAAAGCAACGCGATAAGCAGCGGCACGGCAGAATAGTTTCAGGTCCCGTACCTCCCGTTTAAAGCCGAGTCTGGTGAGGTTCATCATTATCTTAGTGGTGATCGAGTTCCGCGGGCCCGCGTGGAGCAACTGCACTGCCTCGTACTCGCAGCGCAAGGCCCCAGGGCTAGGCGGGCAAAGCTGGCCAACGTAGCCAAGCACCGGGGAAGCGAACATTTTGTACGCGAACACATTCACAGCAAAACTCTGGCCCATGTTCCGGGTCTTCCTCGCTCCCCCCATCAGCTTCGCATTAGGACCCACCGGGGGGTCAATCTCTCCCCCGACACCGACGCTGAAGCCCAAGTACTTCCCACCATGTGACAGCTTAAAAGCCTTCGCGTCCCGACCATGCTGGGCGAACAACCTCAGGGCGCCCGCTGCAGGCATCCCAGGAAGAATCCTGATCACTGTCTTGCTTGGGTGCACCGCCAGGCCAGTCGTTCTGTAAAACCAAGTCAAACCTTCATCACCACAGGCAGCGCACAGAAGATATGCTGGGAAGTGTGACTGCAATCATCAGCAAAACCATACAGTGACCACTGCCTACTCCTTGACAACGGGCAGAGAGACCTGGGGATACTCCACATCATGCACCGAAGCAGCGGGTCCGCGATCATGACACACAGCAGCCCACTCAACGGGCACCCATGTTTTAGACCCCTCTCGAGCAACAAAATGGCGCCCTCGCTGCCACGGACGCTGATGCACACCTTAACATTACCATAGAGGAGCTGGATAGCATGTATAAAAAGTCTGGCAGCAGCATCTTGCGTAGCATGTAGAACACGAAGGCGCGCGACGCCGAAGGAAGCGCAGCCTCGACGTCGAAGAGAACTCCGCCAGAAGGGGAGTGCCCTTCGACAGCCGACCAAACCCGAAGCTCCGAGTCCAGGGCGACGATATGATCCAGGATTTGCCGACCAGGGTTTCCCGAAGCGGCCAGGACAGCCCTCCAACCACCAGCTTGTTGTCGGCGTTCGAGAGAGTGAGAAGTCGAGCGCGCGCTGCCGCCCTAGCTTGGCCCGGCCCGGATGCTGAAACTTCCCCGTTTCGGGGGGAAGGCTGCCAGCGAACAGATGAAGTCGCCCGCGAGCGCACCAACGTGCAGCCCCGAGCGACACAACTGGCGCAGCGCGTCCACTGCCATCCCACCAGCCGCCTTCCAAGCAGAGCGAGGAGACCCCGGCAATCGCAGGACGAATATCTTTCATCTTCAAGACCACCTGGTAAAACTGCTCATAGCGGAGCACCCACTGGACCGAGGGCTGCGCAGTTTGGACGAAGGGGCCCAGGTGGTGGAAATCCTCCTCCGCGGCAGGTACATACCTAGATACAGTTCCTCAGAAGTCGGCCGACTCCTTGGCGCAAGCATTGGGGTCACCAGCCCGCTGCCCCGACTCGGTCAGAACAGTTTTCATGCAGAGCCCACGGTGTGCAGGTGCCCATGCTGCAGCAAATTCCACAGTACGAAACACTCCAGTAGCCTTCCGCGCACCCGTCAATTCCTCATCCTGCAGAACCCCCAATCTCCTTTTGGCTGCAGATACCACGCATGAGCAAGGCGAACAAAGAGTGGAAGCCCTCTAGGTCCACCCACTGGCGCACCTGCACGTCGCAATCTAAATGCTCGCGCCACGCCCGACATGCCCCATCAGCGACTTGCCCCTTTCCCATGCCGACGTGCACGCAGAAGAGCTACCATCCAGGAGACTTGTTGGCTAGGAGCTTGCGGCCCGAGGAATTCTGCAACCTTCTTCACCCTACGCGCGGTTTCGTGCATCAGCTCTTTTACCTCGCAAGCCCGCGAAATAAAACAAGTGGACAGGTTCACCTCTTCCAGCGAGCCAATCAGCTCAGCCGAGAAGCGCGGGTGCCTAAATACCCACCTGGGAATGGTCAGCCTCGGTGACCTCGTACTCACAGGTGAAGACAAGAAAACTGCAACGCGGTCGCTCGGGGCGCGGCGGTCGAACAGCTCCCAACAGACACCGGCGAAAGGGTTGAGGTCCGAGAGGTCGGGGGCGGGGGTAGAGATGCAGATGCGATCCAGGTCTACCAATAGACGTGACGACATCATCAGACTGACAAGCTGTTTGGTGAACCTCGATGAACTGGGGGAAGACCGAGTCGAAACATTAGCCATTGAGTTAAGCCTAACCCCATTCAAGTTACTGGCGAGCAACAACCTACCTCCCCCTGCGCATAGAAGTTGACATCGCAACCCATGGTCGGGGTGACAACCGAAGACTGCCGAACTCTTTCACGGATACTGCACAACAAGCCCTGGACCTGGACGTGAGAGAGGATGGAGTTAATGCGGATATTAACCAGATCAAGACCACCCTCCTCCCCGAACGTACGCAATACCACGACGCGGCCAGCAGATGTCGGCGCATACCTAAACCAGGAGAAGCGTTCGGCGAGCCGTTCATTGATCATGAAAACGACGCCCCCAGCCCCAACATAACCCGTGAAGGACCCATGAATCTTCCACTTAGGAAGCGTTTTCCGAAGCTCGCAGAGGTCAGCAGCTTCGCCATACGTTTCTTGCAGGAAAATCACATCATGAGTGCCAGACAGCTTGCGGAGATGCCTCCCCGCGGCAACCAGGGTCTGGGCGCAACCCCAGATCGAACCGAACAACGCTCGGCAGCTCCACGCGACCATCTTCAGAGAGGAGTTTACCGGGAGGAAGAGTTTAGACCAGTGGGGGGGGGCGAAAATTTCCTGGGGCTCAGACTGCAAGGGGAAATGAGATTCAGAGCTAGACGAGGTAGAGAACGAGGAGGAAAAGGAAACATAATCGGCAGAGCTTGCACTAGCAGGCCTCAGTTCACCACAGCCAGTGCGCAGCGACGACCTGGCCCTCGAAGAAAGGGTCGGTCGTGAAACCGCGGCTGCACCCACCATTGGCTGTGGATCACCATCACCATGCAATGGGGGATGTTCTCGCGCAGGTGTATCGTACACACAGGTGGGCACCCTCCCGATCAGATCCGCGACCTCAGACTCGGGGATCTTCCACCAGGAGAATGATTCGAAGACGGGCTCAAAGGTGAAGCCGTTGGCCTTGCTGTCCTTGATCCACTAGAGCTCGAAAGTGCCCTGGAAGCAATTGACGCCCGGGCGGTAGCTCTCGATCTCGCACTTGTACTTGCGGAACAAGCCAAGGGTCTCTTCCCAGACCTTGCTCGCCGGACGCTGCTTCGCCCTCACGTCCACGGGCAAGTCCTGTCGCACTCGCAGCGTGGCAGTGGCTGCAGTGCGCTGGTCCCTCCAGGCCAACACCTTGTCAGCGAGGAACTCTGAGAATGCCCCAGCAGCGGCACTATCAGTGAAGTTGATGCCGTAACTCTTTGGAGACCCCCTTCAGCTGATGGGTCGCGTTCTCGATGATGTGCGTCGGCAGCAAGGGCTTGATCGCAGTCTCCCAACGGGCTTGCTTCTGCGAGCCCGTGATTGTCGTGGGAAACGTGCCAATCCACCGCCGACGGTCGTTGACAGGCGCTTGGTAGCCACCAGGTCCGCTGCCAGAGCCACTGGAGCCCCGAGCACTGGAGTCGGTTCCTGCATTCATGACCTTCACCTGGCTGGCGAGCTCGCGCACGTCCTTCGTGAGATCAACGACGAGCTTGTCGGAGTTCCAAGTGGCGCCGAAGGTTGTCCAAGGGTCAGGGGCACCCTCACCAGCAGCAGCAGCTTCCCCAGCACGGGGAGGCGGCTGTCCGTTGACTCAGTTCGTGATTTGCTCGAGCGAGGCCTCAATCGCGGCCATCCTGGCGTCGCCCACGCTCTTGACCTGCTTGAACTCCTTCAGGACAAGGGCCTGGGAGGCGCTCACCTGCTGCTGCACCTCGGAGTTGAAGCTGCCTTGCAAAGAACTCGCCATCTCGTTCATCGCGGTCTGCAGCGCCGGTGTAACTCCCGCGGCCAGCTTACCGTAGTCGATCTTGGTGTAGTCGAGGAAGGAAGTGGACGTTCCGCTGCATTTGCTCGTGGTCGAGCGACCTGAGCGGCTGCGTGAGCCATCAGAGTCACGACTCCCAGCACGTTGCATCCCACTCGAACGGGGTCGCTCTCGCCTGGGTCGAGCTTCTTCCTCACTGTCTCGGTCACCAGCGCGATCACCTCGCTTGCGCCCCATCGCGGCAGGAGAACTGCGGAACTTGGTTCTTGGCGGCGTCCTTGAGCCAAAATGGCTTGAGCCAAAATGGCTACGGAAGGAGGAGGAGGAGGAGGAGGAGGGGGCACGGGGAGGGGGGATGGGGGAGGAGGAGCTGGGGTTTGGCCTGGGCAACGACCGCTGCGCGCCAGAGGATAAACAATAACCAAAATCAGAATAGCTCATCGGACTCTCCTGGCCCCTCGCCGAGCTCTCCGCCCGACGCCCGACGGGCACCGACGGCGTCCTCCCTTCGAGCCTTCAGACGGCCGGCCGCGGCCCACGAGGGCGCCACGGCCAGGACGGCGGCGCCGACCGCAAGGGCCCGCGCCAGCTTCATTGCGGCCCCGCCGGCAGCGCGGCCGGCCGTGCGGTCAGCCAGGGCGCGGCATGGCCTGGGCCGCTGAAGCACGGCTGGCCCGGCTCCGGGCAGGACGACGACGACGACGACGACCACCACGACGACCACGACGACGAAAACGACGAAAACGGCGACGACGACGAGGTTGCCTGGTCCGCTGAAGCACCCCTCAGATCCGGGCGTCGCAGTAAAGTCGCGATGGCCCGTTCCTCTGAGTTCTCGACCTCTGGAGGCCGCCCCCCCCCGCCCCGGAGCAGTTGAAAGAAAGACTCGGGACGAGAAGCCGACCCCCCGGGGGAGGGGTCGAGATACCCAGGGGGGCCACGTCACCAAAGAACTGCGACGTCGGAGGAGGGGGGCGGCCCTCCTGGGTGCTCCTCCTCCTCCTTCCCCTCCCCCTCCTCCTCCTCCTCTTCGTCATCTTCTTCTTGTTGTTATTATCATTCTTCTTCTTATGAGTATTAGTATTATAAGTATGCTTATTATTGCGAATCTGAGTACTATTATAACTAGTAGTATTGTTCGCATTATTCGTCCTATTATGACTTGTAATATTAATCTTCTTATTATTAAAACTATTAGTATTATGTTACTTGTTCGTATCGTTATTAGTAACAGTATCATGAATATTCGTATTATTGATATTATTATTTCCCTACCTAGGCTCTGCCTAGAAGGGTTCTTACTCTGTTGGCTTAAACGGGCCGTGCAAACCGCCCCGGGCGGTTCCCCCAGTCCCCTGGGAGCCAAGCAAAAGCAACGGCAAAGGTAAAAGCAAACGCGCGGTTCCCCCAGTTGCGCTCACTGGGTGCCAAGCAAAAGCAAAAGCAAAGGCAAAAGTGAAGGCAAAAGCGAAGGCAAAGCAAAAGCATAGCATAGCATAGCATAGCATAGCGCAGCATAGCATAGCGCAGCATAGCATAGCCTAGCCTAGCCTAGCCCAGCATAGCATTGCGCAGCATAGTACAACATAGCATAGCATAGCATAGTAGCGCAGAGCATAGCATAGCATAGCAGAGCATAACATAGCGCAGCACAGCATCCACTATTGCTGCTGTCTCGGCGACTTGCTGCCTGTTTCTGCTGCTGCTTCACTTACGGCGTGGCGTCGGCGGTTCTGGCGCTACTACTACTACTACTACTACTACTACTACTACGACTACTACTACTACTACTACTACTACTACTACTACTACTACTACTACTACTACTACTACTACTACTACTACTACTACTACTACTACTACTACTACTACTACTACTACTACTACTACTACTACTACTACTACTACTACTACTACTACTACTACTACTACTACTACTACTACTACTACTACTACTACTACTACTACTACTACTACTACTACTACTACTACTACTACTACTACTACTACTACTACTACTACTACTACTACTACTACTACTACTACTACTACTACTACTACTACTACTACTACTACTACTACTACTACTACTACTACTACTACTACTACTACTACTACTACTACTACTACTACTACTACTACTACTACTACTACTACTACTACTACTACTACTACTACTACTACTACTACTACTACTACTACTACTACTACTACTACTACTACTACTACTACTACTACTACTACTACTATCGCTACTGCTACAACTACGACGATGAGGAGAAGGAGGAGGACGGTGTTTACCGCTCCTACTAACAATGCGTTCCTAGAGGCTCCAACTCCTAGGTAGGGTCGCACTGGGATAATTATATTATTAGTGTTCCTCTTCCTCTTCCTTCTTCTCCTGGAGAAGTGGAGGAGGCCCACGGCCACAGGGAGAGAAGCGGCGAAGCCCGCGAGAAGGGGGAAAGGCATGGGGGCAGAGAGACCCCCGCGGGAGAGGAGGACGAGAGAAGCGAACCACAGCTGCGCGCGGTGCCCTAAGCTAGACGAGCGCGTTCCACCACTCGCCAAAGAACTACTCGCGAGTGGCCTGCTTCCGCCGAAGAGATTCACGACGCATCACATCGAGGCAAACACATGCTTTTGCTCGAACGTTTGCGAGCAGCCACTCTGCGAGCAGTGGCACGCGCTCGTGGACAATCTCCTCGGTCGGCCTCCCCACGTTCTTGGGGGCCACTGGGGGCCGGCTCCAGGCCTCCGGGGGCCGTCGAAGCGCGGCTCGCCCGAAATCCGGGGCGGGCCCCGTTGGGAGGAGCCGATCTCCTAGTAGGGCGGCCCGCGTCGCTGCTACGCCGGAGGCAAGGCCCTGCGCCGCGCGCCCGCTCGGTGTGGACGTCGAGACAGATGACTCGGGCACCAACGAGGCCTGCACCCGCCCAGGCGGGGTCTTGGGCCCGCCCCTACAGGGACAGAGGGAGGCCCCCGTGGCAGAGGATGGCGCAGGAGGCGAGAGGTGGGGGGGGAGTGCGGCACGGAAGCGCGCGGAGCCCGTCTGTCCACCGTGCGGCCCCCGCTCAGACCGAGCAAGCTCGGGGAGCACTCGGCATTGAGGTGAGGAGGAGCAGAGAGAGGGAAGGACGAAAGGGAGAAAGGATCATGGAGGAGGAGACAAGGGAGAGAGGAGATAGGAGAGAGGAGGGGAGGCAGCAGCAGCAGAAAGATTCGCATTTGTGTTTCTCATAACGCTGCACAGAGCCCTGCGCAATGCAAGCGCACGTGCCGCCCCAGACGAGGTCAACGTTTTCCTTGGAGCACTGAGCGGTCCCTCGCACCACGTTTGTCAGCTTGCCACGGCTCCAATCGGGTGTGTTAAACTCACATGCAAAGCGAACTGAATTTACTGCTGTGTACCCGAAATCGTTGTCCAGACGCTCGAGCGAGACTAGCCAATCGGAGTTCGGGGTCAGATACTGTAGTGAAACTCCTGAGTAGTAGCAACGCCCCTGCTGCCGCCATAATTTGTCCAAAATAATATCAAAATTCAAATCGCAAATTTGTCCTCGCAGAGTGGTTCTTCTCCGTGCTCCGCGCAACAAGATCATCATGTTGCCTCGTAGCGACCGGTTATATCTGAAGTGGTAGGTTCGCCTGCAACCAGCGCAATGAGGGAAATATCGGTACAAGGCTGCATGACTTGCCATTCAGTGCACTGGTCGCAATAAAAATGTGTTGCGTACACTTGCACCCCCAATGTTGCTCGACTCAGAGGCTGCCCTTGACGTGAAGAACGCGCCTCGTAGATCAGCTTTTCCAGCCGCGCACAATCAACGCTGAGGTTCCGCAATGTGAACACGTCAGACACTTTCTTGCTTAACCACTGCGCCGTACCACACACCTTGTGAAGACCCATCTTATTTCGGCTCGCATCCCCGGAATTGAACTCGGCTGCTATGAGCACGCAATTACTCATAGTGTACCCTTTACGGTTATCCACGTGCTCCAAGGACATTCACCAATGGGAATGTGGGACGCAACACTCCATCTGAACCCCGGAGTAGAAGCACCGACCTGACTGCTTGGACAACATGCACATAATGTCTTCCACACAAATATTGCAACCCAAGCCCCTGGCCTTAGAGGTGCTCCAGGCACTTGACACCAATCCACAGACAGAACCGCGCAATGTATTTCTCCATTGCCGACCTATTGCGGAAGCACACGTCTTGCAATACGACCGCAGTCCAGTCTTATGGTATCGGTCCTTGTGATATTGGCTGGGCGCCTTGTGCAAACCTCACCTTGTACATCTCTTCCCTCCAAACTCTGCAGGCATCGGGTCGACGACAGTGCTGACACCCTTGAGTCGCGGTGACCTTGGAGGAGGAAAGCGGGCCATTTCGATTTGCTCCTGCGATAGACGCGTGCAAGTCAGAACGCATGGCTTCGATTGCAGTTGAAACTCTTCCGTGGATGGTTCTGGCGAGATGAGGCAGAAACGCAGAGTACTGAAAACAGCGAGGTCTATGAATGCAGGGACCCACTGAACGCGCAACATGTCCGACCGTGATGGGCGGAGGGAGAGCCATGAAAATGAACGGCACTGAGTCCATCCAGCTTGAGCCAAAATGGCTACGGAGAGGCAGCAGCAGCAGCAGCAAAAGGACTTGAAGGGATAGGAGGAGTAGAAGCAGGAGTCGCACAGAAGCCTTGACTATTCTTAAGCGGGGGGGGGCTTCAGATGCGCACGAACAATGTCTGAGCTTTCGCCCCCACCTACCTGGAAGCACGGAGCACTGGACGAGAAACGAAAGCGCCCACCTGTTTGCACTTCAGACTGTAGTTCTCGTAGCGCATGAACTCAACTGACTAATGTGTGCGCTGATATCTGCTGGCTCTGCAAGGGTAGCACCCACAGGATGTGTGCTATCGCGATGCCGAGCGCACGCCGTCTTGGCCCTCAGCCAAGTGGAGATTGAGGTTGAGAGGGAGGGGGAGCTTGAGAAGGAGCAGGACGGCACGGAGGAAGGGATGGAGGGAGGGAAGGCAAAGAGTAGAGAGAAACCCTGGCCGCTGAAGAAGAAGCAAAGACTGGAAGCGCTGACCAACATATCCGCCGACCCTGTCGGCGTGTGTGAGGGGCTGTGCCGTTCGTCGTTGTCGTCGTCGTCGTCGTTGCAGTGCTCTAGCGGGCTTGAGGGAAATCGACCCATGCCGTAACCACGTCAAAAAGAAGCCACTTCCCTTTGTCCCTTCCCCGGCGGGCGGGGGGGGTCCTGGGGGTGTCCCGGGGGGGGTCCCAAGGGGGTCCCGGGGGGGTCCCAGGGGGGTCCCGGTGGGCTCCTGGGGGGGGTCCCGGGGGGGGTCGCCACCCAAATACGCTTTCCCATCCCGCGCGTCCGGCACGGTCCCCGCGCGGTTCCAGAACCCCGCGCGGCTTCCCAGTTTTCAAAATGGCCCCTGGAGGCCGAAAATGACGAAGGACTGAACATGTAGAACAACTCCCCCTCCCCTCCTCCTCCTCCTCCTCCTCCTCCTCCTCCTCCTCCTCCTCCTCCTCCTCCTCCTCCTGCTCACTCTGCGGACTCCGAACCCCAG